TTCTGGTCTCCGTGCCCATTTCCCCTCTCTGTGCCAGTCAACCGTGTGCACAGAGCAGCCTCTGGGTTAATCCCAAGCTTCCATGGGAGGAGGGGCCCAGGGATGGCCTAGGGCACTGGCGGGGTTTGTAGGTGAGCAGTGTGTGTTCTGCCATGAGAATGGAGCCTCTTCGTGCTTCCTGGACTCTGTGCCCATGTCCACTGTCTGTGCCGGTCAACCCCGAGCAAGAAGCAGCCAGTCTCTGGGTTAATCCCCTAAACTGCTCTGGGTGGGGTGGCCATTGGAATGGCCTAGGGCACTGGTAGGGGGTTGCAGGAGATTTGTGCATGTTCTGCTGTGAAAACAGAGCCCCTTCATGCCTTCTGGACTCTGCGCCCATCTCCACTGTCTGCACCATTCCACCATGAGCTGGGAACAGCCTCTGGGTTAATCTCAAGATGCTGTGGGCAGGGCGGCCCTCGGGATGGCCTAGGGCACTGGCAGGGGTCATAGGCACGTGACACGTGTTCTGCCTCAAGAACAAAGCCCCTTTGTGCCTCCTGGACTCTGCCCCAGTCTCTGCTCTGTGTCGGTCAAATGTGCACAGGGAGTAGTAGACTCTGGGTCTCGGCTGGTTAGCCATGTGCAGGGTGAATCCTCTGTGCTAAGCTGTGTGGTTGCTGTAGGTGGGGCTGCTCCTCAGCATTTCCTCAGCAATCACGGGTTAGTCGGTTTGCTTGCAGTGCCAGTGGTGGGGAAGGAACAGCAGGCTACTTATCGCCATGAGGGGCTTTGGAGCTGCATTGCCACCCAGGGAGTTAGGGCAGCTGAAGTTTCTTAAGGTTTCCAGCCTGCTGGGATGAGTGTGTCAGGACAATTTTCTCCCATCTGTTAAACTCTTGTCCCTTTAAGACTTTTAAAGGGCCCGCTTTTCTTTTGTCCCAGGGTAGCCAGCTGTGGGAACCTGTTCTCAATCTCAATCTCGGACCTTGCTTTTCCGCTCCTTCAATATCCAGTGCACCATGCAATGTGTGTTTGTGTTCCCGGGGCAGACCACCAGGGCTGATTATTTAGCAGTCCTGTGCTTCCACTCCCTCCCCACTCTGATTCCCTTCCTCCCAACAGTGAGCTCTGGTGGGGGGAGTGCTCGGGTTCCTCTGGGTCATGGCTTTGTATCCTACCCTTTTCCATGAGATGTTGGGCTCCTGCAGATGCAGCCTGGCTCATGTACTGTATCTTCCAGTCACTCTTTTAGGAATAATTATATTTGCTGTATTTTCAAAAAATATATGGTTTGAGAAGATTTCCACCACTGTACTCACACTGCCATCTTGAGAATCCTCCAGGTAACACTTTTTGACACAATGAAAGAATGGACTCATCTTTTCTTTACAGGTTTGAAGGAAAAGTACCTTCTATTTGAGACAAGTCAAGAGTCTTAAATGCCAGTATTAATAATGAATCTCTTTCTGATGCTCAACCAAAAGCCTTTATGCTACAATGGAAGCCAATGAAGACCAGCGAGGTACTGCATCACTTATCTGCCTTTCCAGAAGGGAAATATAAAGAATAATTCTTGCCTCTCTGGGGGTTGATTGAATTAATTGGCTGGAAGTCAAGGGACCACACAACTTGGGGAAGGGTGGTGCTGGTGAAATCCCTAATGTCATAGTTTCCTCTGTGTCTAGAGCAGGTTTATGATATAAATGAACTGTTTCTGGCAGGAAGGTAAGAAGGTGGGAATGCATGAATGTATTTGTATTTACATGTATCATCAGGTTCATATATGAGTTTGTATACCCCAGGCCCATACATTGGTTCTAACTTTCCTGCACTGAGGCCCTGGATCCTCCAAGTTCAAGGGGACAGAGGGGGATGGATATGAGAGAAAAAGGCAAAAACCAGAGTGGACAAAGAAGAATTTAGGAACAGTTATAGTATGCTTTCACAATTTTCCAGAGTTCAGAGTCTACCTCTATTAGAATAGGAATCACTTTGTTTTCTAGCCATCCCCAGTGATTTGGGCTATAATTTATTCCTAGTATATAAAAGAGGTAACACCAAGGATCGGAGAGGAGAGGACACATAAACTGGTGTCTGTTGGGTAAATGGAAGATTCCACCCAGAATTTACAGAATTTCTCACATGGCCTTTGTCCATTTACATACCAATAGATGTTTCAGAGCAACAGGTTGACCCAGGCAAAGGGTGGAGAGAAAACAGCCATTTTCTGCTCTCTGTTCCTGATACATAACTGGTCTAGTCACCACCAACCACCCATGGAGTTCCTCCTGGTAGAGGCAGGCAGGGTAAGGCACCCATACCATGACCAGAGAGGACAGATGGTGAGGAGCCAGGCTAGCAAACCCAAGCAAGGTGTGATAAATAAAATGCCTTAACCCAACCTGCTGTTCCCCTTGTCCTTTGATTTCACCAGATTCATAGGGAAATTGTCCTGGGATGGGAACCCCCTTACTCCCGGAGCTCCATTTTGGCATAGTCAGCAGGATCCAGTGAATCTGAAATCCGTCTTTTGGGTTCAGTGAGCTGCCCCTATAGATGATGAGGAAATACCTACTATGGGTGGTGGAAACACCACCCATAGTAGGTATTTCCTCATCTCCACCCACTGGAGAATCCCTGGAAAAGACCAGGGATTCTCCAGTGGTGTTTTGGTCTCAGATAAGGTACCTCCTGGAGGAGTGGGCGCCTCCCCAGAACTGGGGAAGGGTGAGGACACTGGAGGCAGTAGAGTTGGCCCTTTGCAAAATTGGGGACTCCTTAGGAGAACTGAGTGCACATGGGACAGCAGGAAATGTGGGGTGGCTGTTTCTTGCAGCATTGGAAAAAGTTACCAAGGAGAGAGACACACTTCAGCAGCAAGTGGCAAAACAGGAAGATGAATTGTAGAATGCTCTGAAAAGGGAATGAAAGCTATTGAAAACTGAGGTCATGCTGCTGGGAGATATACTAGTGGCATGGGAGGGGGCAGCAGAAAAATGTGAGCTACAAGAGGCTGTGGGGGAGGTGAAGGAAGAGGTGGTGCCTTCAGCTCCAGAAATGGTAGATGAGATGTCAGGGGAAGAGAAGTAGGGAGAGTATGAGGTGGAGGGGCCAAGCACAGAACTCTTGCTGAGGCTACCTGAGTCACCAGCTCCCCCTGCCACATTGAAAGCCCCCCTGATTGTAGTTAAGAAAATAAAAACACAGCAACCACAGGTTCCTCAGGGAGAGGAACAGCCCCCTCCCCAGGTTGTGAAGCATTCCATGCTCCGCCCCTATACCCAGACTGAGCTGGTGGATCTGAGCACTAGAGCAATCAGAAGGGCTTTGGCAGAGCCCTCAGAGCTTTTGCCCACTTGTCTTTTGCACCTTTGGGATTTAGGAGTAGAGGGCATTGTTCTGTCTGAGTCAGAAATGGGTAAACTGGCTCCCTGACAACTTACCTCTCTTTCTGGAAGAGGCTACAAAATGCCCATCAGATCCCAGGGAATCATGTGCTTTTGGACTGGCAGATAGTGGCTCTATGGGCAGTCTGGCCTAATCAGGGTGATATACCATACTTCTCACTAGCTGGCAAATGTATGCAGAGCTCCAGCAGGTTTTACTGGAGTTGGGCATGAAAAATATCATCTACAACATGGACCAGCAATGGCTGGCCCCCTATGTGTTCTTGCTGTAACAGCAGAGTAGCCCCTGAAGATCACAGTAGTATACCTAAAACAGCTGGAAGGTAAGACCATCTTGTCATTATGGCCAGTGCATGTGTCTGCTGTAGCCCTACATATTGACCCATCTCTAACCCCATTCCTGCCACTGTCCTATCACAGGACCACTCTCTTGCATGCATCCTGATATGACAGGATTTGCCTATGTTGGTAATGTTAAAACATGTCTCCTGTTGCCCGTAAGGTTATTTTCTTCTACCATCTTTGTGGATTGGGCCTATTCCCTAGCCACAGGGGCTGGTTGCTGAGTATGCCTGGAGCCCCCTGATGGTTCAGCTGCTGGCCTCCTGTGGAATGGGTGAGTTATGGACTTAGAATCTGAGTAGGACTTTGAACCCAGCTGGATCCTCAAGCTTGAGGATTGTCACGATTTTATTGCTATCTGTATCATAATTTCTCTTGTTGTCCTATGTTATTAGTCTGGTTACAGTGCTCTTGTTTTCTTGCCAGGTGCTATTGCAGAAGATTGGGGGTGCATAAATTGTAAGGTGAGAATTCTAGAGGGGTGGATTGTGGGGTAAATGGAAGTTTTCACCCAGAATTTACAGAATTTCTCAACTGGCCTTAGTCCATTTACATACCAATGGATGTTTCAGAGCCTTGGGTCAATCCAGGGAGAGAAAACAGCCATTCTCTTCTCTCCTCCATTCCTGGTACATAATCGGTTTAGTCACCAGGGACCCACCCATGGAGTTCCTCCCAGAAGGGGCACATGCGCTGTAGCTGGAGTGGACAGAGCACAGCTTGGCTAGCACATCCGAAAAAGCTGTGAGAAATAAAACCCCTTAACCCAACCTGCCATTCCCCTTGTCCTTCAGTTTCATTGGATTCATAGGGAACTTGTCCTGGGAGGAGAACTCCTTTACTCCCAGAGCTACAGTGGCCTAGAAACACTTTTATCCATCTCCAAATTCCCTAAAATACTAGATTATTCCCAGAACTGGATCTCTTAATCTTTCTCCCTCCATACCACCAAAAGCCTCAAGTTTCACCTAAATCAGTCATCTTTTCACCATCTCCAGAACAGGAAGGGCCATCTAATTTTCTCTAATTCACCAGCATACACAAAACATGTTTGGGGAGGTGGGGAAGAGAAGGGGGAGTAAAGCTATTCATTGGGGATCCTCAAAAGGGGTTGGAAAAGACAAAGAGGAAAGGAAAAAACACATTAGGCACATTGGTATTGTGACCACATTCAGATGCTTAATCAGTGATTAACACTCCCAGGGGTGATAAATGCTTTACTCAACTATAAACTAAGCAAGCAGAGGGGTTGATGGAAAAGTAACTTACCCTGCTAAGCCCTCGGCTTCCCTTCTTCTCTCTTTCTTCCAAGTGAAGTGAATGCTTGATCTCCTCAGACCTAGGTTGTGGCTGACTTGCAGCTGTCCCTTCGTATCATTTTCCTTTGCAAACTGCTGAAGTGCTGGGTCCCTGTGATTAGGTGTGCCCTGCCAAGCAGACAGCCAACACTGAATTCTCCCTAATGAGGCAAGTAGGGATTTGGCCCCCAGCCTGTGGACTTCTCTCTTTCTGACCTTTCTTTTCTGCCAAGAAGGTTCAGAACTCTGTCAACACTCACAACCTCACGAAAGGCCAAGCAGACTGAGGAAAGATGATGCCTACTTGTTCCAGGACCTCTCTAAGGCAGCATTTCTACTCTCAGTCCACAGCATTAAGGGAAAAAAAAACAACCCAAAACCATGGAATTCGTTCAGAAGTCACTATTTGGCTGGAAAGGGGAATTCATTATCAATCTAGACCCAGGGTTAAGTTCCCCAAAGCCCAAAGTCCTTTTTAGTGTAATAAACACTGCTCAACAACTCAACAATGACCAAACTAGGCTTAAGTATAAATATAATACCCAAGAATGGAGAATAGAAATGGTCCTTTAATGGTATATAGAAGGGAATCAATTGTAGGGGAAATATACAGAATTGGTAAAATTCACTTTCCCTGAAAGTAAAGCAAGGTACTTTCTGAATGAATGTCATCCAGGGCAACTTCACCTGTGTATTTCAAAAAAGGAATAAATATTTTAGGGATATTTATAGAAATTATGAATATTTTCAAGGAAGTAAGACCAAACTATTAATGACAAAAAATGCATATTATTTCTAGGAACAGAAAATAAACAACTCAAACATTCCATTTCTTTCTGAAATAGATGATCTGGGGCATTTAACCTCACAATTCCTATCTCCTTTTCACTTAGAGCCATCAAGCTCCAGAACCTACTCAAAGGTTTTAGGGCAGTGGTCCTATATAACTGAAAGACCTGACTTTCTGCTTACATCTGGCCCCAATTAATGTCACTTACCTACCTTTGTGAACATCAAATGGGACCAGAATCCCTTGCAATGAGGCCTTTGAATGTAGCAAATAAAATCTGCGTATGAACAGATACAGATAATGGATTCCAAAGGAACCCCTAACTACAGAAATCACAAAGTACAAGCAGGGAAGGTGGAAGAAAAGCATTGATTCAACAAAATATTATATAAGATTATGTAGAGTAGCTGTAGACAAAGGAAAATCAGTTGCAATAGGCCAAAATCCTGAAGAAAATAGGGGTATTCCATTTCAAGCAAATGTTTTGGGTCAATTTCAATTTTAATTGGCAGAACATTTGAAGATTGTAAGTTCTGTTAACAATGGCTGAGCTGCAGAAGGTACAGGAAGTCAGATCGTCTTACTCAGGAGTGTCAACTTTGAATATAAAGGGAAATGATATACAGAAAAAACTGATATTGAATATTACATTTTGCTATCACTATTACTTGCTCTGGTGGACAAACATACAATTTAGAAAGACCTGAATTTTGACAATTTGCATTCATGGGTTACATTAAAAAAAAAATCTTAAAAAACTATTTCTAATGGTTCATTGTGAAACTAGTTATAAAGACGTTCCTGTTCAACAGGTAGGAAGCGGTCGGTGTGACACTGGGTGATATTCTACCATTTGCAATATACACTTTTTCTGAGTTCTGTTCCTTTCTCTTTCTTCTTTTTGATTTTTACTACCAACCTATAATTCTAGTTTGCTAATGATGCTGTATGTTTACCCATGATTCCCATAAACACTATATAACCGCAGTGATGGACCTATAAGGGCTAAGGAAGTTCCTGGTGCCTGATATGCTAGTTAAGGTCTTAATTTAGAGATGCAGTTTTCATAACTAAAATTTCTCTTTAAGGTATGCAGTGCAAAATAACTTTAAAGGCAGCTTATGGACTGGTATAAGCTGTAGAAGCTATACTAATCAACAATTTGAATTTTGCTATCTAGAATTAGGCAAGTATATACATTTTAATTTAAATTAATGCTTTATAATGTATATCATTATAATTATTGACAACTGTAAAGATACTGCATATTATTAAAAATGTTGAACAATAACCTAGTTTCCCTCAATTTGCAAAATTCTATATTTATTATGATTATGGCAAATTAGAAAGAAGTACGGTGGAAAGGAAATGCAATATCAGTAATATTTTTTTCTTGTTAAAACACCCAATAAATTCCTAATACTATTGTAGTAAAATTCTAGACAGTAACATTTTCTTTAAATTAAAAGTTAAGTGACATAGTGATTTTAAATATTAGATTTAGGAGGCCTACAATAGGACCCAAGCTCTCTAGTGATCAGTAATGCTCATGTAAAACAAGTATAACCAATGTTAAAAAAAAAAAGTAACATTTATGAAGACAAGAATTTAATTCATCAAATTACCATGAATCATCCATGAGATAATCTTCTTTGAAGGATATATTCCAGTTCTATACAGGATTTTCTAATTTGGATGAGAAGGTCAAACCGGACTACATCTTCCAAATAAAACCCAACACAGAGATAGGAGCAGCGGCCCATGCATGGAATTTATTGTGTGCTACTGTTTATAAAATACTCAAATAGTCCTGCACATGCATAATATTTCCAACTTAGACAAGAGACCATACAGGGTGCACTTTCTGGCAAACAAACAATAGATGGTTCCACTGCCTGGAGCTCTGAGTTGTATTCCAGGGCATGAGGGAAGCAGGCCACCAAAGTAAAGGGAAATACCAAACTACTGTGGCAATCAATACAGGTCAATAATTGTCAAAAATTAGCACATGGTTCCATTTAGTTTAACCAAGCAGTTCTGTAACTATTAAAAGAAAATGTTCAACATGCAGTCTTGCCTTTTATGCTGTAACATCTGAATGATTGAACAGAACCATTGCTTCTATGCTGTACTGCTTAATCAAAAACACTTCCAAAACACTTAAAATCTTCCTTTGCATCAAAACATAAAAATGATAGAAAGCCAGCAGCAAATCACCCTGGTGGCTAAGCAACTGTAGTACTCACAGTAAACTAAAATTTTTCATAACATCTAGGTAACCTATACATGTCGTACCTGTACATCATAGGTCTATATATTAAATATTTGCAAAATGAAAACATGCATACACAAAATACATCAAGTTTTACAGACATGTTTTGAATTAAAATTTACTTTGACAATGTACAAACTTCTTTTAAAGTACCTTAAATGGGTAATTCTGTAATTTTTCATAATTTTGAAATTAAGAGGTTTTCTTCTTACATCTCTGGGGTTTAAATCTCACATCTGGGCAAAAAAGAGTCTAAATTAGTTTTTTGGATTTGTGTTCAAGTAACAGAATGCCTAGAAATGTTGCATTCGTAATTGAAAAATACCAAGGTTGTATTACAGAATTAGCCACATTTAAGAACTATAGACCTGAGGTCAGCATTTTGTATGAACACCAACTGGGTTTCTATTTTGCCCATAATTCAAAACAGCTTAATAACCTCAGAAATGTATTTTAAGACCATGCTAATTCATCCTTTAAAGACATTTCATGGTTGAGGGGGAAAGGGCGGAGTCCACATTAGCTCTTAGGACTGCATTTGAAGTCATGGTTGAAAAACAGAATCTAATTCTACTGAAGGAAAAAAGAAATCTCATTTGTAAACTTAAATGTGTGAACCACAAGCATATATGGAGGTGTAGTTGCCCTCCACTGGTAATTGCCCCAAGCCCCTTGCTTATTACTGCTCTCCACCTTGGCAGCGATGACCCAATCTTATCAGATAGCACAACATGTCCCAGGGCCCTCAAGCCTCTGTCCAGGAAGGGGACTGGGGTCTCAAAAGCACAATGGTTTCTCCAGAGGGACTGTGACATTTACAGTCAGCTTGGCCGACCCCTTCAGCTCCTCGGGTGATCTGTCCATTTGGGGCCCGAGATGTGAGAGTCCCTGGGAAGCCGTGGGTCACTGGGCACTATGGTTGCCAGTCCCGTGGTTCTCAGTGGCATGTGCGGTGTTCAGAGAATTGAAACCATCTTGTTGTACAGCATCTTTCCGGGGTGGCATTCTCTCATTGATCCTATCCAAACCCTTTGCCTCTTCAAAACTGCAGATTCTATGTGGTGGAGAGAATCCTCGTATTGCTTAACAAAATGCAAATTTGATAAGTCAGTAATTGAAAACATTTCTGAGATTTCAAAAACATTAATGATTTTTAAGAAGAAAGAAATTAGCTGTATGTAGCAACATTTAAATCTTACTTTAACTGAATCCTATCCCCATTTCAGACTTCCCCTTAAATGTGAAATGTTTAAACCTAAATATAAACATAATAGCTTCACAGATGACAAGAGTTAGCACAGACTTTAAAAAATAAAACACAAAAATAACCCTCCCCTATCCCCAAAATCAACCATTGCAGGCAATGGTCTCAGGGTCTCAGTCTGACTTTATACCAATTATCTCCTACCTCAGACCCTAAGATCACCAGTGACTATCATAGTAAGGCAGCAACAAGAGTAGGGGCAGGTGAGGAGGCTAAACAAGGTTAATCCTCGACATACAAATCTGTACCAAAAGCTTCGGAGGAGAAAGAGGTTAAGTTAAAATTTAGCAGACCAGAACTATCTTGGAGGTCCAGGTATCATCACCCCATCACCACCAACATGAAATGAGAAAGGTGGAAAATGCCTCCAGGAGTTAGATCTGTGTCTGGCTGATGGTAAAAAGCATTTATAGTTTCATATTTTAAGAGACACCTTCCTTAATTCACTGGCCATTCTACTGAATATTCTTTAGAAACCCCAAATCAAACAAATGGCAATCCTCCTCCAATTATTATGAGTTCTTATTCACTTCAATATGGAATGATGTATTCTTCATCAACAAAATGTACATATAAAAAAATTCCATACTACTGGTTATAATCTATTGTTTTAATATGTGCGATCCCTGGGACCCAGAGTCTGTGCATGTGAACTAAATAAATGGTCAGGGCAGCAAAGCATTCGTGATCTGTAATATCAAGCCTACACATGATATACGTGAAAATAATATGATCAGCAAACACTAGGCCAAACTTCAGGGGAAAAA